CAGGCGACGCCAAGAGGCCCAGTTCCAAGGCGGTTTTCACCAAGTCCACCTGGGATTTCGACCGAGACCGTCCAATAGGAGGCGTCCATACCCGGCCTGGTAAACGTTAACAAAAAGCTATTGAAAATGGCCATAGAAATAGTGAGTTTTCCCATTATAAATGGTGATTTTCCATAGCTATGTTAAATTACCAGAGGGTAATTTCTGGGGGTACAAAATGGATGGGTTTTATCATAGGAGTTGGAAAAAACAGTTTTTTGTCCATTGATTGGTTTATAAATGGCCATTGATTCGAAACAACCCTCTGGTAAACATTTGATAAATGAACTGGAAAATCACCTTTTTTCATGGGTAAGTCAACTATCAAAGTTCTATAAATGGCCAATGTTCTATAGCAATGTTAGCTTACCAGCGGGTAAGGGGAAATCTACAGGAAAGCCTTAGAATTCTTGGCGAAAACCATGGTTTCCGGCAGATTGAGACAAGAAATCCTTCCATTGAGACAAAAAAAAACACTGCAAACGATGGCATGGTATGATCAACAACCAAAGAACCAGGGATGGAGATACAATAATTACAATGATGATATAATATGTATGTATATATATATATGTATAATATAATATATATATATATATTTATTTATCTATTTATCTATTTATTTATTTATTTATGTATGTATATACAAGTATATATAAATGAATGTTGCTCCATGGCCACCCCAGAGACATTGAAGACATATGGAGGGTTCCATAAATGGGGTGGTACCCTAAAATGGATGGTTTATAAGGGAAAATCAAAAAAACAAATGATGCTTTGCGGGTACCCCTATTTTAGGAAACCTCCATATGTCGAATCACCCATGTACCTCAAGTGGCTATCATTTGCCTATAGTCGATTGGAGCAACCCTGTATTAAGCAGGCAAATTTGCGATTTAACCACCAGTCATGGGTATATCACTCATCAATCATGGCGATGTAGATATTCACCCAAATGGAGAGTCATGCCTAGTGTTTTTTCTGCATGGAACGCTGTCTTCTATAGAAATGTAACCATGTGTTTTAAAGATTCAAAAAATGCGAAACACCATGGAACCCTAATGATGAACGGAATGAGTTTCTACCGCCTTTTCATACATCTCTTGTGCGCAATCCGCAGGTAAACGCTGATATTCTGCACCTCTCTTGCTTATTTCCGAAAGACGTTTGTCGAAGGGGATGGGGATCTTCCTATCCCTACTTGCATGTGAAGACATGGCGTAAGTAGATAACATGACAATCATGATAGACCTTGCATGTGAGGATGTGGCTTGCATGGCATGACATGAGATGGATTGCACAAGCAGGTGATATGACATGCGTTGCGCACGCGCGCGAAGTTCTATAGTGTTTGGATATCAACCAACACAAAATGCCATGTTTAAAACATGGTATAGCGTCATCCCATACTGGGAATCCAAACAGAATGGGTATATTCCTCCAGGGTAAACTAATGTAGATGTGGACAAGAAAAACATGGTGCAGCTCATTTTCCTACGGAAACCATAGCTTTTGCACATCTATGTAAACGTTGACCTTACGGAACAGCCCCAAAAAATTATGGGGATGACCCATCCCCCACAGGTATCTCGAATTGAAACGGGACAGGGTTTATAGAGGGGGGTCCTGTAATACGATTGATACAACTGGGCTTCAAGGATTATCAAAGTGAAACCATCTGGGCAATCAAGTTACCCAAGGTACCCCTGCAGTTCACATCCAAATAGCTGGGATTTATGGATGTTCATCCCAAAAATGGTATGTATATATATATATAAGGTCTTGATTCATCCCCATCTGCATATCCAAGTCCTCCAGTTTTGTGATCCAAGTAGTGCCCCAACTTGCAAGGAGGACACCCGGGAAACTACACCCAAGGTGGTGTTCCCCATTGGTTGATGTTCACCAGATGGCATGATCTGCTTGATATTATGATGTATCTGCCGTAAATCCTATAGTTATATCATGTTATATCAGCAAGTCAACTGTGCGGTTAGCAAAAAAACAAAATCAACTATCAATCACCATGTTTATCAGTTAAATTCAATAATGTGTTGCATATGTCTTGCTAGTTAAATTCATATTGATATAGTTTTTCACATCTTAAAATCCCTTAATCTACTATATCTCAACCACTTAAGATGTGAAAACATCTCCGCGACCGAAGTGACTGAGGCATTCTGCACCAGAATGGCCAAGCATTGACCTTGGATACACGAGTTTGTTTCACGGCACCACTGGCAATGGGGATATGTTTTGGTGATATGATACCCATATAAAAACCAGATATTTTAAGTGATATGATATATATATATATATGTACATAAATATATATATATATATATGTAACCCAGATATTAACCAGATATGAAAACCAGATATGAAAACCAGATATGAAAACCATATTTACCCATATATATATATAAATGGATCAAGCCGTACCTTCTGAGGAAGTATTTAGGGTATGATTGAATGGGGTGAAGTAGCTTCTCAGGAAGTACTTGGATCCATAGAGTCTGTATAACAAAATATGGAATAGGGGAAATGTTGCCAATTGTTTACATGTAACATAGGTTTTGGTTAGGCTCCAACTCAAACTGTTCGCGGGATACGTAAGAAAATGTAACCAGCACCAATATATTCACCAAGATACAGGTGAACTGAAAGAAGAACGTATTGCAAAATATATATATATATATAACTATCTCAAAAAGAGCCAAAAAGGAAACACATGTGGATAATTGCGCATTGCGCATATTTCTGGAGACATAAACCAGAAACCAGTCATGGCCGTGGTGCCAATTCGACAAGTCGTATTTCTTCGTTGGAGTCATGCGGGATTCAATCCGTGGGTTGGTTGGTGGTTGAGCCCTACTCTGAAAAAATGATGGACTTCAAGTCAGTTGGGATGATGAAATTCCGAAAAATCATCCATTCATGTTCCAGTCACCACCAACCAGATAATATATTCATATTCCCATATAATCCCATATACATATATTATACATATATTATATATACATATAGTGATGGTCCACCAGCACCGCAGCACCGCAGTTTTCCAGTGGAGTCCTCGACCGCAGCTCGAAATCTCCGCGGGGTCAGCGCAGAAACACGTCACTTTGGCATATCGCGTGACCCGCGAACATTTCTTCAAAACTTGGATGGGTCGGTATGGGTCCAAATGCTATATATACCCAAGGAGTGGCTATTGGCTGCAAAAGACAACTGAATCTATAGTCAGTCTCAGGAACTCGAATTTTGACCCACCACACCTGTCTTTCAGATTGCTGACGCCATTGGTGGTCAGATTGCTGACCAGAAATGTCAAGAGTTCGACGCACAACCCGCCCTTTGCAGGTTGATTTTGTCCATCGTCCAAGGAACATGGCTCGCAGGTTTCTGAACTTTCCACATGTATAGATCCCCGACAAGTAACTTGGTAAGTATCATTCACCTAACGATTGGAAAATCCGCCCGCACCGAAGGTGCTGGGGCGTGATCGTCCGGATGGCACTCGTAAAAGGTTACAGGTTTACCTGGGGGGGGGGGCCATTATTCGGCCAAAACCTCCTGTTTTTGATAGGTCGTGACGCTCGCCTTCAAAAAACACTGTAAAAAACAGTACGGAAGACACCTGTTCGTGAACGCGCCCGTCCAAAATCGGCAAGCGAAAAGTGAAAAAAACCCGTGTTTTTCAACTTTTTGACCTCAATTTTTTGGTTTGCAACATCTTTTTTTGCGGTTCCGCAGGTGGCCTGGCCCGGAGGCGGATTTTTGAGTTTTTGGACCCGTTTTCGGACTGATTTTCGTCGTTTTGTGATAGCAGAAACACTGGTTTTTACAGTGTTTTTCTGTTTTCTGCATGCTTGACGGCTAGCTTCAAAACTTCCAAAAACCTCGTAAATTACGCTGTTTTATGTTACGGTGTGAATGAAAACATCGTAAATACCAGTGTTTTTTGACGTTGGTTAAAAAAACACTGTAAATTACAGTGTTTTTGGCCACCTGACCCTCAAAAACCATGGTATTTGCAGTGGTTTCTGCTTCTCACCGCGCAAAAACACTGTAAATAACAGCAATTTCGCCGTTTTTTCATGTTTTTCGCTATTTTTTGAACTGCGTTGGTCCGCTATACATGGCTATCAAATTCTTCGCGTTTTTTTTCCGACAATCAGTACTTTCGGATGTTTTTGGTCTCAATGGCCGACATCATTGGCAGTTACGAGCGGTCGCGAAGGTGTGAGAACAACATCGTTCAAACCGTGGCGGCCGCACAGGGGTTCTTGTCGCGGAGCGACGGCAATAGAAGAGAACAATGGCAGTAGAAGAGAACAATGGCTGACATCATTAACAGTGTGGACCGTTCACTCGATATGTACATATATGATCTTTATATATATATATAGATATATCTCTGCTGTGTGAGCCCAACGATGCGGTGCGGGCGGTTGCCGTCGCGAAGCGACGTGAATATGTGAATACTACAAACAGTATCAAACAGTTGGATTATAAAACATTACAAAATTATGAACACATACAAACCTCATGGTAGAAATATAAATATAGCATCTGTGTGCATATATATATATATGTATATTATATATATATATGGTATGTATATATATATGGTATGTGTATATATATATATGTATTATGTGTACATCTATATATATATATATTATGTGTATGTATGTGTATATATATATATCTATACATGTCTCTCTCTCTCTCTACAAAAAGTTGGGCCTGGTCTGTGCGACTCTACCACTGCTGAGTCTACAGAGGTGGGGAGTGAGCTTTCGATGAGAGATACAGACAGCTGGATCATAAAATCTGATAAAATGAGAAAAAAACATGGCAAACAAAATACATAGATACACAGTTGGGTCATAAAATGGTAAACAGTGTCAACCTGTTGAAAACATGCATACACAGTTGTTGACTGTAAACATGTATAAGCTGCTGAAAAAACGAACAGTCAATCACCACACCTTGGGCTTCAGCCCAGCGGTGGCAACCCGTCGGCCAGCCGGGTCTACAACTTGCCCAGTTCAGTGGCTCGCTCCTGGACGGGCATCTGGGGAAATGGGGATTTAAGGCCAAGAATAATGGGAATATGATTGGATATAATGTCAACCCCGGATTAATAAACCATGGTTTATTAATTAGGGGGGTACTCCCCAAATAGTCATAATCCGATACTTAAATGGTATCCCCCCAATTAAACAACCTAGGGTTTTATTAATCCAGGGTTGACATTATATATGATATATATACACACATCATATATTACATATAGGATACAATGGGACCTACCACTAGTAGTAACCTTCATTCGTTGGGATATACAGTAACCCCGGCAACTATGGCTATATAGCCACTTATGAGCGGAACTGCACCCCCAAGCAAGCAACAAGAAATGGGAATATGATGGAAATGATGTGGGAACATAATGGGATATATGTTGGGATAAAATGAGACGTACCTTCCAGAAACTGATCATCAAACATGAATTTTCATATGCATTTTAATAACAACATATCTACAAATCTGCCATTTGCCATAGCTATTCTTAGATTACCAAAGGCTAATTCTTAACAATGGGATGATTCCCCGAATCCTAACCATCATATGTAGCTGTCCCTTAACACGGATGGATTTTAAGGGGAAATCTGGAATAGAGTGAATAGATTGGCTATCAATGGATGATTAGAAGCCCATTTACAAGCACTATGAGTGGATGATGGTTCCAACTGGTTATGAGTAATTAGAAATCGCATTCATAGATTTTTCAATCCCATATCTATCAACGATGCGCAACTAGGAGTTGATTTGGATCACGGGGCCCGTGAAGAAATCACGGGCCCCAGTCCTAACGAGCCACGTGTACCCCCATGCATGAAAGGTTTCCAACCGACTATACCCCGACAAACTTGGAATGGATCAACACCCTGTTTCCTCGGTGAGGATCAAAAATAAGGATGATGGGATGCTAACACCCACATTCTATCTTACATCCGCATATCCCCGAGGTTCAAAATTCGTGCTGCTTGGTGAAAATCCCGAAGATTACCATATTGACTATGCATCAACCATACCTAAATCATATCTTAATTACATGTTTACTGATTAGAAACATATCAAACCAATATCTAATAACATGACGTCTTAATATATACAAATATCATATATCATGTAATGTGTAATCACCACAATCATATATGTATATTGTGTATAACTATATATATATTGCAGAATAAAACTTACTAATATAATATACCAATTCTAACAAATATATCTATATAGTTCTACACGTACATGCATGCAGATTGACATATCAAATATGACATGAAATCATACAATGAAATACAAAGATGCTAATAGTATATCAAATGTACTGTACATATATCTATATACTGTACATATATATCTATGCTGTACATATATATATATATACTGTACATATATATATATATATATACTGTACATATATATATACTGTACATATATATATATATACTGTACATATATATATATATATACTGTACATATATATATATATATATATATATTGTACATGCACATCATAGATAATCTATATTATATCATAAATATGATGTTTTTTCTAATCTACATCTTCACCATCCTTATATTATCCCGTCCTTGGCGGCCGTCACGGCACTGATGACGCTGTGCCGAAAGCCCAGGCTCTCCAGCGTGGCGGTGCCCGCGATGGTGGTGCCACCGGGGGATTCCACCGCGTTCTTCAGCTGCGCTGGGTGCCTGGCGCAGGGCGATGGATGGAGATTTTCCCCGAAACGAAGCCCACAATGGAGGGCGTTGTTATAGGAAAATCATCCGAACATATGGAGAAATATGGGGGAAAATGCCTGATAAATGTGGGAAAATCATAGGACATTCTATAAATATGGTTTGTTGATGGCCCTGAACAGTTGTAACTGGCGAAAAGAAACTCATTGAAGTGATATATGACCTTAGTTGCAGGAGTTATAATCCCATTTATAGCTGTTAAGACCTATAACTTTAGATACCCTGATCCATATATCAGATGATATGTATATTGGTACAATGAGTAGATAACAGGATATGTGATGGGAATAGATAAGCAACAATTAGGGTTACCCTTCAGTAGTCAAACACATGATTAAACAGTTGGGATACGTCAACCATGGTTTATAGCGAACAATAGTGGGACTATATTGGGGATATAATGTGCATATAAAAATAGAACGGAATACACATGTCTTCAGAATATATAGGGTGTGTATATATATATGCAACCAACATCAGAATGCCCCCAAGTAGTGATGGATAGTACTATTCATTTAAGGTGGTGCCCCCTCAACTATACGTTGGCGTATAAACCCCATTAACATTCATTCTCTATATAGATATATGATAAAACCTACAGGATGACGCCCCCAAGATAGCTAAGTTGCCTTATAAGTTGCCTTATGGTAGATATAACTATAGTTAATGGGGGTTATAATGGTTTATAAACCAACTTATAACTGGGGGGGCCATCCTGTAGTTATTGGAGTTATAAACCAACTTCGCTAACTATGACCCTTCGGTAGTCAAACATGTTTGGTTGGAAAAATACACCCTGGAAAATGGAGGTTTTAATAGGACCATTACCCACCAATGTGGTTCTTGATGGTGACCCCCCCACTCAGTTAAGTTGTTTTACACGTAATTTAACTAGGGTTTATGGTAGATATAGCTTTAGTTACATGGAATTATCCACCAACAAACATCACTTGGTCGGCACCAGCTTGAGGAAAGCTTAGATATATGGAGATCTAGTAAATGGTGACCCATCACAAATTGCCAAGTTCAGTAGCTTATCCCAAGACCTCATCGATGGATCATGGCTTGTCTTGGCGTTACTGCTCTTGGCGGGTTGATGAATCATTTTTTCGAATGTTTTACATACCTACGGCCAGTTTGTTATTTCACCTGTTAATCAATTTCAATTTATATATATATATTATTTTTTTAAAAAAAAAGATTGTATACTAGCCATTTAAAGGACTGACAAAAAATTGTTTTTAAGGTAAACATTGGCCAGGTTTTTAACCAATGCAAACCAGATATAGCTAAAAACCATGGGTTTTTAACTCTCCATCTTCTATCCATGGGTGGAAAATTCCTGTTTTTCATGGTTAAATCCTGGTGGAAAATCACCATCTTTGATGACCCCATGCTCAGATCATGGTTAGATCATCATTTCTCATCATTTTCCCATGCGAAACAATCGGTTCCGTCCCTGTGTGTTTCACCATGTTTTCACCATGTGTTCACCATGTTTTCACCATGTGTTCACCCTTTTTCACCATGTTTTCACCATGTTTTCACCATTGTCCAACATTTGTTCACTAATTACACATCTCGCGCCCAGTGACTTCTCGCCCTGCGTCATTTTGGCCGAGCCCAGAACGGTCTGCGCGGCCAAGCGCAGCGCCACATCCCGCGGCAGGCCGTTCTTCACCTTCAGGAGGAGATCATGGATCATAAGCAGCAAGACCCTCTGGTAAACGTTTACACAACTACAAGGTGGTGCCCCAGTTCGTTAGCTAAGTTGGTGAACATAACTCCCATTTCACTATGGTTTATGGCAGATATAACGAACTAGTTAATGGGATTTATAAACCAACTTATAACTGGGGGGCACCATCCTGTACGGAAAATCACCATTTTGCAGCTGGGAAAATCAACGAACTAAATGGCCATGTTCAATAGCTACAGTATGTTAGTTTACCAGAGGGTAATGCTGGTTGAAGCCATTGACGCTCATGATAATGATAATAGTGATAATGGTGGTAAGGGATTATAATGATGATGGTAATGGGGGTGATAGTGATGCTTGACAATGATTATAATGATAATGATAATACGGGATTATAACCCCACACAAATGATGGATGGTGATTCAACTGGAGATAACCGGGGAAAATTGAGGTTTTCTATAGGAAAATCATACATAAAACGTTGTTTGAATGGGGATGTACCTAAGAAAAATAGGGGATGTTAAACAACAATAATGGGGATGTCATGGGAAGTTCCTCGGGATATAATAGGTTTTGAGCAACTGTGTATTGGATCGTCAGCGGCCGAACTTTCACCCAAAGAGCGAGAAATGGAAGATGATGTTGAAACATGTTGAAACCATTTGCAGATGTTGTTTAATATACAGTATAATCAACAACAATGAGGATTTGCTCATACACCAACCATCAGCCAGATGAGAGTTACACCTTGGGAAAAATGATTAAGCTCCGCACTCCACCATCAGCCATGGATTCAATCATCATGTACCTTGGTGTCATCTCCAAATATGAAATGGTGAAAGCTGGGATTTAATGGTGGTTTAATGACATTTAATGGTGGTTTAATGGGATTTTATGGTGGTTTAATAGGATCTAATGGGAATTTTAATGGCATCTGGTTGGTGGTTGACCTACCCCTCTGAAAAATAATGGACTTAAAGTCAGTTGGGATGATGAAATTCCAATATGATGGGAAAAATAATCCATTCATGTTCCTTAAACCACCAACCAGATATGGTGTCAAAATTGGATGTTCAATGTTTCTTCCTTGCCTTTGTAGCATCGGCTTGCGGGATCTACCACTATGGCGTGACTGTTGTTAAATGAGGATTTTTGGAGATTCCAATTGTTGGGGTGGTTCGTTTTTCCATCTAGGTACTGGTTGAGTTTTCAATACAACCTCGACGTTTGTTTGATTGTGTGTTTGCTCGTATCTGTTTTGGCAACTCAGCACTTTCACATTCAACTCTGTTCTTATCAAACATGCTTTATTTGGTTTGAAGACTTGGTTATTTTGTATGTTCTCCCGTTTTTTGTTCTGATCATTCCGTTCCTTTGATTATCCTCCAACTTTGTTTACCTTTTCACCATGTTTCTTCCTGTACAGTTCGGCTCTACGTCTGACACATTCCTCCCCAGATGTGAAAAAAAGTGTCATCTGACCGTCATTTTGCTTGTCTGTATCGGGCAGTTCTGATATTCCCTGACACCATGGTGATATGACCATCCCCAATGATCCCCAATCTGGGTGTGTGTGTGTATATAACATTATTATTTTGGGGATGGTCATAATCCCCAATCATGGCCCAATTATATATATATTTATATATATATGTTATACATAATAATACAACATTTGACCATGGCATCATGGCACATGCTTTTCTCTCCTTAACTTCACTCACTTCACAGCAGTTGAGCAGTTGACCAGTCCACCTCTGCTGGTTGTGGGCAGTTAACCTACTTGGACACGGATTCTCAATCCCCGATTTCGCCATGATGGGCATCCAATTCTCCACCAACAATTGCTGCTTCTTTGACAACTTTTGAACACTGTAATTTTGTCGAGCAAAATCCATGACATCATCACGTTGGTTCTTTTCCTGTCTCCTTCGGGAATGGGTTATAGTCATAGTACATGTTGTTTCATACCACTCTTTGACTTAAAATTTCACACGCGTTTGGAAATGCAACATTTGTCAAACCAAATCTCCGCCCTTGCTGCAAGGTATCTCGCCACTGCTGCTTGGTTCTCTCTCCATGTTTGTCGGTTCAACCAACCAGTCAACTACCATCAGCCAGATAGAAAATTTAGAGAGTATATTCCCATCTGATTCCGCATTTCAACCTCATTGAACAATATGTAAGAAATATAAATTGGTCAGTTGGGATTATCATCCAAATGTACTTCTTATTTGAAACCAACCATCCAGCTAATCTGTTTGTTCCATGTTTTTTCATTTTTTCCAACAAAGGTCATGTTTTTCCCCACGGCCGCACACTTTCCCTCGCGCCACGTGACACATAGGCAGGCCCGGAACCACTGAGCCCCGTGACCGCGTCCAACAGTTTCTCGTCGCCCAATTTTTCGCAGAGACCCACAGCTGACATGACCTGGGGATCTTCAAAAGCTACACTTGTAGAAAACCCAAAAGTAGACTGAAAATACTTTGTCACTATAATTTAGTACGATTTTACTTTCTATCTTAACTTTGAGGGTTGTAACTTTGGGGGTTGTTTGATGTTTGTTTAAACAAATAATCTTCCGACTGAAATTCAGCAACAAGAGCTGGGAAAATCCTAGCAACCAACCCTCCCTTCTGGGCTGAACCTCCACATTTGGTTGCTCAAATACCCCTTTTGTTTTTTGGTTAAAATCCATTTGTTGCACAATAAAACCCTTACATGTTGTTGCTGAGTTCCCCTTTTTGGGTGAAAACATGAGGTTTTTTCATGGTTTTCCTAGAAAATCCATGAGAATCCATGAGTTTCCCATGCTTTTCCTCGGTAAATCCCCGAATTTCCGACGTTTCCCCGGTGGTTTCTGGTTCCAGCAGCGCGCTCCACGATTGCACCGTCGCTGCTGGAGGCACCGGGACCCAGGACCTGGAGCACTGGGATTTCCCTCATTCCAAGCTGGGGAACCCATTGTTTTAATAGTACATAACAGCATTTATACCCTCTGGTAATTTAACGTAGCTATTGAAAATGACCATTAATGGTGGATTTCCCCATTAAAAATTGTGATTTTCAACAGCTATGTTAAATTACCAGAGGGTATCTTTAATACAATGGCTTTATTAAAGAAATTCTATTTAATAGATTTTAATAGTACAGCTTATTTTGGTTCATATTATTTCTAGTACAGTAACAGTACTTATTAATAGTAACATTAAGAGCTGGGATAATAGTACAGTAATTGACTATTAATACAATGGCTTTACCAGCTATTCTATTGTAATATACTATTGTAATTCAATGAGGGAACAATGGATTTTTGTTGGTGCAGTAATTATTAATAGTAACAGTAATAGCTGGGATTACTATTATTCCAAGCTAGGATTGGCTCATTGATAGTACAATAATAGTAATAGTATTATTAATAGTAAATAGTACAGTAATTGACTATTAATACAATGGCTTTACCAGCTATTTTATTGTAATATACTATTTGTAATTTAATGAGGGAACAATGGGTTTTGTATCAATTGTAATACTATTATTGTTCCCTCATTCTCATTGTACTGAGATTCCCTCATATACTGGGATTCCCATTGTTTATTAACGAGAATAATAGTCAATAGAACAACAATAGGTTTAATATAATCATGCTACAACCACACAAAAACCGATCTGTCAAAACAGAATTCAAAGAAGTTTCCGCTGATTGAAGAGTCAGCAACAGTCTGTGATTTGCAGTCAAAGTCATCGAGATCATTTCTTTCCACTTCATGCAACAAAGTTCACATTCATGGAAATGCTCTGACTATGTAAACTTGCAAATAGCAGGATTCACAGAGAGCAAAGTTCATAGAGAGAGCAGAATTCATTCAGAGAATGTGCAATATGTTCACAGAGGGAGAGAATCTACCATTCACACTGAGTTTCGGTTAGTTCCGGAATGAATATGGCAAGAACTGGTCGAAACGAAACCGGCAGTTTCTCGCGATTTTTCACTACAGCCAAATAGTTCATATATGATATGCACTCAGGTATGTAGGTGTGTAGGTATGTAGGTATGTCGGTTTATTTGTGGTTGTTTGTTTGTTTGTCTGTCTGTTTGTTTGTTTGTCTGTTTGTTTGTCTGTTTGTTTGTTTGTCTGTTTGCTTGCTTGATTGTTTCCTTGTTTGTTTGTTTGATTGTTTGTTTGATTGATTGTTTGTGTTGTTTGTTTTTGTTTGTGTTTGCTTGTTGTTGTTTGTTTTTGCTTGTTTTTGTTTGTTGTTGTTTGTTTTTGTTTTTTTGTATGTATGTTTGTATGTTTGTATGTTTTTTGTGTGTATGTTTCTATGTTTGTATGTTTGTATGTGTGTGTATTGGTATGTTGGTATGTTTGTATGTTGGTATGTTTGCATGCTGATATGTTTGTCTCTGTGTTTGTTTAAGTGTGTGTGTATATATATTTGTATGATTTTTGTATGATTGGATGTTTGGATGCATGAGTGCATGTATGCATCTATGGATGTATGGATGTATGGATGTGTCGATGTGGATGTGTGGTATAGGTATCGATCTATAGGTATAGCTAAACGTATAGGTACACGGTATACGTGTATGTATACGGATATGTATTTGTATATGTTCCGGGTACGTACATTCGTAGGTTCCGATGGGTACGTATGTCTGTAGCTTCAAAAAATCATCAGAGCCATTTCGGGAAGCTCCATTCATTGGAGGTACCTCCGGTAAACGTTTACATAACCATGGAAAGATCCACCATTTTTCATGGGAAAATCCACGAACTACATGGCCATTTTCAATAGCAAACTGTTAGTTTACCAGAGGGTACCTACCATATATAAGGCCCTTTTTTCAGGCCTTTTTTTCTTGCTCGTTGTGTTCTGCCAAGCGACATAAGCAGAGGCACCCAGTCCAACGAGCGAAGGCGTGTTGGGCATGGTCCGCGCCTGGAGAGCCAAAATGGTTCCGAAACAAGGGCCAAAATGGTGATTAAAGCTTCAACTTAAGTATGGTTTCATATGATTTTACGTGGTTTTATAGGGTTCAATATGGTTTCATATGGTTTCATATGGTTTCATATGGTTTCATATGAGCACTCATATGGTTTATATTATATGGTTTAATATAATACCCATAAACCATTGTTACTTCTGGTTAAGTATGGTTTTAAGTGTTGTTTACCATGGTTCACTGTTGACTAAGTATGTCTTTTAGTTGTTTACTGTGGTGGTTTGTATGGTTTAATTGTGTTCAATGTGGTTTACCCTCCAGTAAATTAACATAGACCCTGGTAGATAGGGGTTGGAAGACTAGTTCCCACTAAAAATGGATTATTGTCAGGGTCTATGTTAATTTACCAGAGGGTAATACATAGTTAAAATTCCCATGAACCATAGAAGGAGTACCCTAGGGTCTAACATGGATCTGGAAACACCATGTGAAACCTTCGGAAAAGGATCTAGATTCATGGTGGCTGTGCCACAGTTATGCTATTTTACCCACAATCAATTGTGATTTCACCATAAATTCTGAGAGTAGAACCATTTCACATTTGTTTTTGGTGAAATTGGAAAACCCAACTTGAATGCAGATGAAAAAAACGAATCCGAAACTGCGGATTTCTGAGATGGGGCCGCTATGGGGTATCCCATTCCCTCCATTGGATAATCATAGTGCTCCTTGTGTCGAAACGGAATCCACATTTTCTACGTGAATCCACATGTCACATACAACACCCATATATATCATATAGTTGGCTATATCCAATATCATCACCATTACAGTTGGTGAAAAAATCCAGTGATATCCAAATATTCCTATGGATATTTCCTGTGATTAGTTTTTGTATTACTTAGACTATACATATGTATGTATATATATATATATCTGGTTGGTGGTTTCAACCCCTCTGAAAAATATGAGTTCGTCAGTTGGGATGATGAAATTCCCAATCTATGGAAAAAAATAATCCCTTCATGTTCCTTAAACCGCCAATCAGATATATATATATATATATCATATAGCTGGCCATATCCAAAGTTCTTCCACAATATGCCCTATGATTCAATAATGTCCTTTTGGTAAAGATAGAAGGGCCGGTTTGGTATACCATCTATCACCATTTACCTGTTGATTTTCAGGGTTTCTCAAGAAACCAACCAATGGGAAAAGGACATCTATGCTATGATTCTTGTGCTGGGTTGGTTACGGTAAAATCGCTATCCAGTGAGTCCCTAATCTCAAACATCGCCGAGGTGCTACACGCTTCACACCCATGTCCATCAGCTTTGCGATGGTCACCTGAGAAACGTCACAAAGGGGGGAAATGTCGCAGCAAAAATGGGGATGGTTAATATGAATATAAGACGAATATATGGTTTATATCTATACATTAACCATATATTAATCATATATTGATCATATATTAATCAGTTTAGGGGAATAAACATCCATTAACCAGCCATCTTGGGATACCTAGGGTCCAAGTGACTAGGTGCGTTGGAATGGTAATCGCTGGCCATAAAGACTCCCAAAACAGAAACCAGATATTTCCTGATATTTCCAGATCATACTTCCATATATTTGCATATATTTCCTGAAACTATATGCTCTGCAATTCGGTTGCTAGATCATATTTCCATATATTTCCTGTTTTCAGAGGAAACATCTACATACTGTGGTGAACCCAAGCATAAAATCCAATCTTTAAAGATTTATAGCTTAGCCACCGCCCAAATGTGACAGTCAGGTGTGAAATATGATAGTTTGGGGTTTACCCCCTTTCGGGCTCCGATACCCATTTGAGAGAGAGAGAGAGGGAGAGATCCTTTTTTGCAGGTTCATACCCCCAGTGGACCAGTTTTGCTGACTATGCCCTTTTTGCTGGCTTTTGACATCAACTCCACTTTTCATTGGTTAAATCGTTAAATTCCAGATTTGGATGTTTAAATTCAAATGTCTGAACAAAACCATTAAATACATACATATATCATAAATATATATATATATATATGTACATACAGTATATAAATGTATATGATATACCCCCAGTTGCTATACATATTCAGAGATGGTTGCTCTATACATAGCCCCATGGTTGATTTTGCCCCCTCAGAAGTTATTCTTGGTTTATAACCCCAATGAACTGGTGCCACAAAAATATGGTGCTTCATACTTCCGCCCAAGGTACACCGGCCATGATGGAGATAAAGAGCGGCGACGTCTCAGGCGACATCGTCAGACCATCTGTGGCGAAAAATCTGGGTAAGAGGTGTTACCCCCGAATTATAAGTTGGTTTATAACCTTATCTATGGTTGTAATAACCATAAATATTAGTTTCTTGTTGGTGACGGGGATACGGGTTGATGCGGGGATATATTGGGAAGTTATAGGATTTAAGTATCGATCATTGCTGGGTAGGGCTGAATATCTATGTTGATGGAGTGAAACCAACAACATAGGGGCCCTAAACTAAAGCTAAGTTGGATTTATAATGGATATATCGAAGTCGGGCTTGTAAACCAACTTAGGCAAGGCCCTTTCCTCTTTGAAATTACATATATAGACATATAGATATAGATATAATATATAGATACAGATAGATACATATAGATGTAATACATATATATATATATATTATATATATAGACATAGATACATAGATAGATATAGATACATTTGATGAATGTACCAGATCCAGCCCACCAGCCATGCCGACGGCGTGCAGCATCTGGGTCCCGATTTCAGGATGAACAAATTGATTGTGAAACTACCACTATCAGGGGAATCGCTATATCATTATCCCATTAAAATGGTTATTGCCCTGTGGGGATGTGCCCTCAGACGCACAAATATCTGCCATGGTCAAAACATGGGACTAATGGTCTTACAATTGCTATATGGCAGTGTGTCAAAACCTTGTACCCCTGGTGAACATCAAAATAGCTGGTAAATGGATGTTCATCCCACTAAAAATTGTATTAATAGGTATTGATCCATACCCATATAGATCTCTTTTCACGGATTGATGACCATTCCTCCACGTTTCCCAAGCACACCTACCACACCCAACCCCAACCGGATCAACGTAACTCGCAGCAGAGTGACTCAGGGCTGCTGCTGCCACCTACGGCAGACATCAGGCCGGATCATGCAGAGCCGGGAGGAAGAAACCAACTTAACTCTCGGGCCCCATCCTGTAGAGCTATTGACCAGCAAATTATATACATAATATATACATATATACATTTATACATTTATACATATATACATATATACATATATATATACATATATACATATATACATATATACATATATACATATGTACATATATACATATATACATATATACATATATACATATATACATATATACATATATACATATATACATATATATACATATATACATATATACATATATACATATACATATATATACATATATACATATACATATATATATACATACATATATACATATATAATCATATATACATATTATATACAGTATATGTACATTCTATGTACATATAAGAGGAAATTCGCTAACCACAAGGCGGGAAGTGATGGAAATGTACCAGAGATATCATGATTACCAGCTAGCTATCTTTCGGTGCCCCAGTGATAAGTCGTTGGCGTACAACCCCCATCAACATATCAACTATAGATCTACCATAATCCATAAACCATACTTAAGCCAGTTATAAATATGAGGATGGGTCAAAACCCTATCCCCCTGGTGAACATCAAAATAGCTGGTAAATGGATGTTCATCCCCCTAAAAATGGTATTAATAGGTGTTGATCCATACCCATATGAGCTTAGCTAACTATAATTCATCACCGTGTTTCTTCGTGCAAAATCTCCTGGCTGTCGCGCTGGTGTCGCCTGCGGCTTGACAGCTAGGACCACCACGCCGCCTTTGCCCATGGTGGTGACCACCTGGCGAGTTCACCATGAGTTTCGCCATGGGAGTTTAGCCATGTGACCAGGACACCTAGATGGGTCCTACCATGGGAAAAGCCATGGGAAAACTATGGGAAAACACATAAAATGGAGATGGAATGATAGATGGAATGGATGGAAATCTGCAGAAGCTCGACTGGTTGACTGTTGAACTTTTTTGTGATTATAACGGTAATATATGTCTATGTCGAAATATGGTGAAAATCATGTAAAATCCATCTAACGTTCACCACCTTGTATCGACCCATCAAAGTTCACCCGGCATCGTGGCCACCTCGCTATTGGACTCCGTCGTCTTCACACTGAACCTGGCTGGTGGTGCAAAACGACTAGGAACTTTGGCAAAGCGACTTCCGTCGAAAAAATGAGATTGTCTAATCAGCTGAGTGCTAGAAATCACATAAAATGACTATACATATAACTACAGTAGACATCCGTGTTCCCGCCAGTACTAGTTCAAATTGCCAAAAATTGATGTCAAGTCATCTCTCACTGAGTCAGCCAAAAAAGAATGCACCGCACGGCGGTGATTTGTTTGACTCGTTTGGGGAGATCAGAAAAATCACAACGTTCAACTGTCCATAGGAGTATGATCATCATTGATGATTCATGAATTCGACCGCACAAAGTTGAAACAATTTGAAACATATAATCGTGCCCAATCGGGAAATACATGCGCGTACCCTCCAGCTATTGCTGGCAATGGAAAATCATCCTATGTACAAGTAATGCTCGACCATAAAACAGGGGGATTTGACGGGATTTCCCAGCCATATTTGTTTACTAGAGGATACCTTGCAAACAAGCAGCTTCTGCTCCAAATACTTTCTTCTGGCCTTCAGGACACAAGACATGCGCGGGCTTTTGGAACTTGAAGATCTGGCAAACTTCGCTCAAAATCTTGGATGCGTCTTCATTGATATTGATGATTTGGGGGGTTCCTAAAATGGGGGTACCCCATTTCATCATCCAATTCTAATAGGATTTTCCATTACAGACCATCCAGCTATTGGGGAATCCCCCATTTATGGAAACCCCCATTTCTATCATCATAAACAATAATAAACCATCCCCCACATCACCATCAATAGGTGGTATGTTTACCATCCATGATCTTCATTGATTCGTTGATATTCATTGATGATTTCCCCCCCTTGGCCAGAATCGATGGGTGGCATTGGCGGAGACTGCCATCAACCCAGCCTCTAGGGGCTCACTGACCAGCACTTTTGCACCCTGACAGATGGTAGGCTCTGATCTCAGCCAGAAACAGCAAAAGATCTCAAAAACGTCATGATGTCATTGATGTCATGTATCAAAAAATGATGTTCATGGGATCTTCATGGGATTTTATTGGAATTTCATAGGATTTTTCCACGGGATATTGATGATTTGTTCAATGGGACACGAATGGTACAGAAAAATGGGATACTAGTGGGATGCCCCATGTTTCAAGATGCTGAAAAGGAGTTTATCATGTGGTACATCATGTATTATAATATAGTCATGTTAAGAGTCATGTATATAAAATAGTCATGTGGTTTATCATGTATATCTTCGTAGTAAGTAGTCATGTATTCACGAATATAGTCAGAAATATAGATGTCCATGTTAAGAGGTGTACATGTTGTATTTAGGTGTTAGATGTGATAATTATCCCCAAGCTGAAAGTAGCCACTGAGACCAGCTATGGGGATGATTCCATGATTCCCCGAATCCGATTTAAGCATCATTCCAGTGAGGTCATGATAATTCATCCAGATAAAATATCATGACCTCACTAGAATGATGTTCATTAGTAATGTTGCGGATTAATATTCATTAGTATCATTATGAAATTCCATAGTTCAAATAAATGATTCATGAGTATCATAGCCATTATTAGAAATATATGTCATTCCTATTGTTGCGAAATTGTCCAGATAAAATCTCCAGAGTACGATTTTTCTTTATATCCCATGCGATTTTCTCAACATCCCAGTCATACCCCATGGTAAACATTCATTCACTTAAAATCCCATGGTTCATCGACCAGTCATAGGAAGATACTTCTTATAAAATAATTGAATATAATACAAAAGAATAAATGTATATAAATAACAATCAATAAAAATTTATGATAACTTATGATAAAAAAAAATAACAAGTAATAATAACAATCATTCGAATTAGTATATATATATACACCTTAGAGATATAACACATATCATAGAGATATAACACAATAATTCCCCATTTTAGATCTTCAAACATGGCTGGACAATCCACCAACGATAAACGCCTCCAGCAAGAGTTTGGTGACTTCCAAAAGCCACTTTTGACGATGGCTGAAATCATTACTATACGGAAAGTAACTATGAACGGGTAATTTTCATGGGATCATTACCCTCTGGTTATGACTAACATAGCGAACTGGAAAGATCCACCATGTTTAATAGGTAAATCATCTAGAAATGGGCCTATAGTATATGGTAGAATATCCCTATAACTATAGAATATAGGAAATGGGAAATGGATAAATCTACCATATAAGAATATCCCTATTTCATACTATATGGGTAATTAATGGGATCATTACTTTATGGGAAAAAAAACATACTTTCATGATTTACCAGATGATATACTATATAGTATCTATATGGGATAATGATATACTGGTAAACGGGCGTTTACATAACTATATGGAAAACCACCATTTTACAGCTGGGTAAATCAACTATTTCTATGCCCATTTTCCATAGCTATGTGAAAAATTACCATTACTGGTTGGTGGTTGAGCCAACCTGAAAAGTGATGGAGTGAAAGTCAGTTGGGATGATGATTCTTCCCAACTGAATGGAAAAATCTTCCATTCATGTTCCGAACCACCAACCAGATGGTATATCATTACCCTCCAGTAAATTAACATAGACCCTGCCAGATAGGGGTTGGAAGATTAGTTTCCATGAAAAATTGGTTATTTTCAGGGTCTATGTTTATTTAGCAGAGGGTAAAACATCTGCAGCAAATTCCTCCCCCCTCCAAGCCCTCCAAGTCCATGTCGCCTCAGTGGTGCCTTGCGCCAGGAGTCCTCCTAGAAGGGCCTCGCACATCTGACCACCGCCCAAGAAACCAATGCTCAAAGCCTGGACGACCAGAACCATGGGAAAAATGGGTGGAAAATCCACGAACAAATGCTGGGAAATCCATGAAAAATCCATTAGAAAAATGATGGAAAGTCCATCGAAGTCCTCCATCGAAGTCCATCAAAAATTAGGATTTCACCGAAATTCAGAAGCTTCTGTCACTCCTGAAAATACTGGTTGCTGAAAAGAATGGGATAACCCCAGTTCATGGATGATGATAATCCCCAACAGCCCCAAAGGGTACTATGACCAAAATAATCAACCAAACACTGCTCATGTTATGGTGGTAACTTGGGGGTGCAGGATTGGAGCTGGTTTTATGGGTAGAATGATAATAATAACAATAATAGAAATAATGATAACAATAATAGAAATAATAGTAGTAATAATAGAAAAAAATAATGATATGCGAATTTGACCCCCATAAAGTTGGGAACAAAAATCATGGAAACAAATTCTCTGGAAAATTTCGTTCAGCAAGGTTCAGTGAACCCTCTGTCATCCCTGAACCACGTTTGTTGGTAAAGGATTTCCCAGTTCGTCGATAGTGTTTTTTCCAAACCAACAAATGTGGTATTTTTTCTGGGTTATCCCCAACAAAGGATAGTATAACCATGTATAACCCATATAAGTATCAATCAACAGGGGTATTGAAGGGGATAGTATATCCCATATCCATATAATATCCATATAATATCCATATAATATCCATATAATATCCATATAATATCCATATAATATCCATATAATCATCAATTATTGAAGGGGATAGTATATTGGATATATCCATATAATCATCAATCAAGGACTGGTGGTTTTCAAGCCCCATGAAAAACATTGGAAGCAAACGCATAAAAGAGCCCAGCAGACTGTGACGCCTGCATCTTTCTTCGACAGCACAATTGCAGGCGTCACAAAATGAGCCAAAAATTCTCCGGTCCCTTGCGGCAGGCTTTCAATCGCTCGCACTCGTACAGGCAGGCCCGCTATCAAGTGAGAACACAGACACTTTGAGACAAAAAATAAACCAGATTCACCAAGACAGAATCAGCAATCAAACATAGCAATGCGAAGTGGAGGTTTCAAAATTCACCTGTAAATGTGTGATTTTCCATTTCCACGCTTGATGACACCGGAGGATAAGTTTGATCTGTCGAAGACGTCGACCACAACGTGGTCGAAACCACTGAGCCGACCGGACTACAAACCACTTCGCTGATGACGTTGCGCAGCTTTTTGACCTGCAACTGTCCACCTGGGCCGCTGGGAATGTAATGAATCACCCTGGTGAAGTGGTGAACATAGCCCCATGGCAGCCCCAAATCTATGTCAAATCAGATCATTTTAGTATTGAAACATATTGAAAGCTATGGTGACAGGGGATCCCCCATGATGAACAACGATCTGGGTGAAGGATCAAAAAAAAATATTATTGGGATCAAAAAAATTATTATTTAGGGATCAAAAACAAATTATTATGGGGATCAAAAAAATATAATTAGGATTCATACTAATAGTAATAATAATGATAATAGTAATAGCAGTAGTAGTAGTAATAATAGTAGTAGTAATAGTAGTAGTAGTAGTAGTAATAGTAGTAGTAAAAATAAAAATACTAATAGTAATAATAATACTAATAATAATAACAATAATAGAAATAATAATAATAATAGTAAAATAATAATAATAATAGAACTGGTTGGCGGGCCCTATCATCCACCATTGTGGCATTGTCGCGGGCAACAACAAAAACAGAACAGCATAGGTGGGCCGTATCATCCACCTTTGTGGCATTGTCACAGCACGGAACACAGCAAGCATGCTGGGCGGTTGAGAGTTGAACGCGGGCAACAACAAAAACAGAACAGCATAGGTGGGCCGTATCATCCACCTTTGTGGCGTTGTCACAGCACGGAACACAGCAAGCATGCTGGGCGGTTGAGAGTTGAACGCTTGCTTGGTTGGTTTGTCGGTTGGTACATACCGCAAACAATAGCGGCACGCTCAGCAGCCCCAACCTGGAGAAGCTTCGGCCCTGCCTCAGCCCGTCCATGTCGATGGGGTTACCTTGCGAACTGGTTGGCGGGCCGTATCATCCACCATTGTGGCATTGTCGAGGGCAACAACAAAAACAGAACAACATATAGGTGGGCCGTATCATCCACCTTTGTGGCGTTGTCACAGCACGGAAGCACAGCAAGCATGCTGGGTGGTTGAGGGTTGAACGCTTGCTTGGTTGGTTTGTCGGGTGGTACATACCGCAAACAATGGCAGCACGCTCAGCAGCCCCAACCTGGAGAAGCGTCGGCCCTGCCTCAGCCCGTCCATGTCGATGGGGTTACCTTGCGGACCGGTTGGCGGGCCTTATCATCCACCATTGTGGCATTGTCACAGCAGGCATGGCAAAGACAGGCTCGGGAAGCAGAAGTTAACACAAGTTGCGGACGATGGTCATTCACACCATCATGTTCACCACATCATCGTGCCAACCCCAACTAATGTATTTACGGGCTTGGATTTAAATATAAAGAAGGGAGGGCAAAGCAGATTGGAAACATCTATTTTCACATGCAAGGTGCTGGTTTGGTTTAGTTGGCGGGCCTTATCATCCACCATTGTGGCATTGTCATAGCAGGCATGGCAAAGACAGGCACGGGAAGCAGAAGTTAACACAAGTTGCGGACGATGGTCATTCACACCATCATGTTCACCACATCATCGTGCCAACCCCAACTAATGTATTTACGGGTTTGGATTTAAATATAAAGAAGGGAGGGCAAAGCAGATTGGAAAGACCTATTTTCACATGCAAGGTGCTGGTTTGGTTTAGGGTTTATTTGGGGTTGGCTTAATGGTTTCGTCTGGATTTGTTTAGGGTCTATTTAGGGTTGGGTTAGGGGTTATTTATGGATACAACATGTACATACAAATAGCTATAATTACGTGATTATTTACAATCTATTTTGGGATCAAAGCTGTGTATCAAAACAACCACACAGATGTTATATATTTATATATGTCTGTATATCTATAAGTAAATATGCATGTGTATCTATATATAAATGTACTTATAGATACATACTTATATATATATATACATTTATATTAGGTGGGCCGTATCATCCACCTTTGTGGCGTTGTCACAGCACGGAAGCACAGCAAGCATGCTGGGTGGTTGAGGGTCAAAGCGTCACATGGTCATGATACATTCATTCGCAATGTAGGTGGGCCTTATCATCCACCTTTCTGGCGTTGTCACAAGCCGCGGGGGGGGCTTTGAAATAAAAAGGCGGGAGGGGGTCACTTGAGTGGTGTCCACAAGATTACTCTATATCTCTCTTGAGCCTTGACAGCGTATATAAATGTGCTCAATGCTCATGTAGTACCCAATGCAAGTTAAAACAAAAACAAGGGCGCAGCGCCTCCCCCCGCAAAGCGTCACATGGTCATGATAGATTCATTCGCAATGTAGGTGGGCCTTATCATCCACCTTTCTGGCGTTGTCACAAGCCGCAGGGGGGGGGCTTGAAATAAAAAGGCGGGAGGGGGGCGCGGGGGAGGGCGCAGCGCCTCCCCCCGCAAAGCGTCACATGAGCGGTGTCCACAAGATTACTCTATATCTCTCTGAGCCTTGACAGCGTATATAAATGTGCTCAATACAAGGCGGGAGGGGGGCGCGGGGGGAGGGCGCAGCGCCTCCCCCCGCAAAGCGTCACTTGAGTGGTGTCCACAAGATTACTCTATATCTCTCTTGAGCCTTGACAGCGTATATAAATGTGCTCAATGCTCATGTAGTACCCAATGCAAGTTAAAACAAAAACAAGGGCGCAGCGCCTCCCCCCGCAAAGCGTCACATGGTCATGATAGATTCATTCGCAATGTAGGTGGGCCTTATCATCCACCTTTCTGGCGTTGTCACAAGCCGCAGGGGGGGTCTTTTTGATCCTAATAATATTTTTTTTGATCTAGATGCCTCCTTCCTGCCTGCCTGCCTTCCTTCCTTCCTGAATATTTTTTCATTGCAATAATAGTTTTGTTTGCTTGCAATAATAACTATTTTTGACTGCATGTGCAAAGAGAAAGAGAATAGTACAAGAGAAGAAGAGCTGTAGGAGCCATAGAAGCCAAAAGCCACAGGAGCCGAAGGAGCCATAGGAGCCGAAGAAGCCAGAGGAGCCGGAGGAGCAAGACAAGAAGCCAGAAGCCAAAAAGCCACCAGGAGCCACCGGGGACACAGGAGCCGAAGGAGCCACAGAAGCCAGGAGCCGAAGGAGCCAGGAGCCGAAGGAGCCACAGAAAGCAAAAAGCCAGAAGCCAAAAAGCCAAGAAGCCACGAAGCCACCAGGAGCCACCAGGAGCCACCAGGAGCCACAGAAGCCAGGAGCCGAAGGAGCCAGGAGCCGAAGGAGCCACAGAAAGCAAAAAGCCAGAAGCCAAAAAGCCAAGAAGCCACGAAGCCACCAGGAGCCACCAGGAGCCACCAGGAGCCACAGAAGCCAGGAGCCAAAGGAGCCAGGAGAAAAAAAAAAAATTAAATTACCCTCCTTTCTTTACTTCAATCTTTCTTCCTTCCTTCCTTCCTTCCTTCCTTCCTTCCTTCCCCCCCTTCCTTCTTTCCTTTACTTACAAACAGTAATATTTTTTTTGATCCTAATAATAATTTTCTTTTGATCCTAATAATATTTTTTTTTGATCCTAATAATAATTTTTTTTTGATACCCATCCCCAACGATCTGGGATGACTGGCATTCGACTCATCCCAGATCAACTGGCTGGCACCCTCCATTAAACTAACATTACTATGGAAAATCACTGTTTTTTAATAGATATGTATACATATATATATACATACATATATATATATACATAAATCATGTATAAGTGGTTATGTTCATCGGTTTTCCATAGCCAAAAAGCAGCTATGGTAGTTAAGTCACTAGAGGATGCAGTTCCGTTCCAGTTCCGTGTTACCGGCCGTCCCGAACGGGATCCCTGGGATCCCTGGCCGCTGTCCTCCAAATACTTCATGAGGGTTGACCTGAAGCCGTGTTCGCCGTTGCCGCCGGATCCCCAGCGGCAACGGAAGGGACTGATGAGTGACTTGAGAGCTTGCCCTAATTAAAATGGGAGCCCTGTTTTAGGGATTTGAAGCTACAAAAAATGCGATATGATCATTGTGACCATACATCTATATATATAATATATATATATGTATGTATATCATATAATATCATAGACCCTCTGGTAAACGTTTACATAGCTGTGGAAAATCGCCATTTTCAGTGGCTATATCAACGATTTCTAACTGGCCAGTTTGCAATAGCAAACTGTTAGTCATTACCAGAGGGTATCCACCCTCGAGTAGATATTCACCATGGATGTGCATCCCTGGAAGCTCAAGTGATTCCATTGTGGGATACAGCAAAATTAACCCCAGTTATCCATGGCTTATTACCCTCTGGTATGACCAACAGTTTGCGAACTTGAAAATGGACCATTTATAGTTGCTCTGCCATAATGAAAAATGTTGGATCTTTCCATAGTTATGTAAACGTTTACCAGAGGGTAATCACTTACAAAAATTGGGATACCACCGGAGTCTATTTTGGACTTTTCTGGAGGCTGTGAACAACAGTTCTTCCTGTATCCATCGGCTGCACCGGTTTTCCCAAGCTTCCCTGTACAATTCACCACTTGCCTGCCCAACAATGGCCACATTCAATGTGAATATCATCTTCCAAACCCCTCAGGTTCCATGTTGAATTGTAGACAAATACTTTGCTATGGAAAATGGACCATTTATAGTTGATTGACCCAATAGTTATGTTAGTTTACCCAAAGATATGATATATCCCTTAACATCATATATCTGGGTAAATCACCATCTGGTTATTTAACATAGCCATGGAAAATCACCATTTTTAATAGGTAAACCATCTATAAATGGGCCATCTATACCATGGCTATGTTAAAGAACCAGAGGGTATAATAACTCACTAACCTGAAATGTTGGGCCACTAATCTTCCCTTTCCCGGAAAAAGGGCCTGAAATGTTGGGCCATTTTGGGATTCCCCGCAATCTAACCATCATTTCCAGTGAGGGAGAAGAGTGAGGTCGTGATTAAATTTACCCAGATCATATTCACTATAGATTCCCCAAATGGTGGATTTTCCATTGGGAAAATATAAAAAAAATCACCTTAAACAAACCCTAGGTATGTATATTTATATATATATGGTATATGGTATATAATTATGTTAGTTTACCAAAGGGTATGATATAATATGGGATATTATTATATTAGGGATATATACATATACCACATATATATATACCCATGATATACCATGATATACCATATACCACAATTATCATGTATATATCCCCGTGTTCGTCGTTGTTTTTCCGGTCCCATCGGGCGCTCCAACTTTTCCGAGTCTTTGTTGCAAGGAGCCCTGCGCCATGGGGGCGATGGATTTTGCTTTTGCGTCTTGGTGATAAAAATGGCAGGGTCAAAATGGGTTTATAGTCTTAGTAGTATCAATGTTATCCTTTGGTAAATTGACAGTTCGACCCTGGCAAGATTTGGGGGTTGGAAGACTAGTGAAACCACTATAAATTGGTCATTTTCAGGGTCTATGTTAATTTACCAGAGGGTAATTGGGATGAAACCAACCAGAATGGGGATCTAATATGATATAATGAGATCTCATGGGATTAGTGTAGCCAACCACATCACATGGGTGCGTCTGACCCCCCCACAGATTGCTTTCTTACTAAGGAAAATGGTGATAAACAAACAAATTCAGGGTATACCCCGTCTTCAGAATAACCCAAATGAGGATGTTTGAAGATACTGAAACTGTTCGAGACTGATTCAATCAGCTCATGGATAGATACTGTATTCAGTCACAGAAAACCAGAAAAAAAACTATCGCTGTCTGCATTGTGGAATGCATGAAAGTATATCAACCATGCAGACTGATACTGATACAGAATTTTGGAGTTATCATGATTTATTTCTTGGGCTGAAGCGTTTGGGTACCAATTCAAACGTCCAAGTCTGATTTTGCATATGAGGACGTTTGAAGAATGTGTTGGATGAGAAAATATGCTGAATTTCGGCATCCTGATGCAGGTTGCTAGCATGGGTCATAACTGATGGCTTCCAGGAATTGGAATGTGCAAGACAGACAAAATGTGCACCTCGCAATTCCGTTGGTTTCTTTGAATAGATGTTGACTCACAGCACTCAATGACACTTCATGCCTCTACTCACAAAAGGGCCACTTCTCCTTCCCCAAATTGGCAAGCATCTTGGATGTTTCCTTTTGATATTCATGTTAAATTGTTAACCCCCATTTTTTGCAGAGTTAATCCTCATGTTTTCAGACTGTCTCCCCCGGTTGTTTGATGATATAAACATATAGAAACCGCCCATGATATATGCGGTTGTCTCAAAATTTAGGCTAGCGAAATCCAGGGGTTAATCATCAGTTGCCCCTGGAAAATTGCCATTATTGGGGGAACCCCTAATTTTCAGACAGCATTTGGCACAATCTCCACCCGCAACCCCCATTATTTGATGAGCGGACGCAGTGAGTGCCGGGTGTTCGGTGACTTTTCGGGTGTTGACCGGAGGAGTTAAGCATCGAAATATGATGAAAACCTGGATTTCCGCATCAACGATAGGGATGTAAGTGGCAGATCCTTTTTTTCATGTGCAATCCTATTGTTTGTGAAAGTGCCCTTGGCATCTCTGATTTTCGCCAATGACAAAAATTCCGCCATCCTTCGGCCTCTCCATCTCAATCTCTGGCAAGACAACCTGGGAACGGCACCCGGGTTGGGATGATGTGGGGACACATTTCACTAGTTCAAATATCAATGGGAATTTTGCTGGGATATTCCCTTACATAGGCCTTATATGTGGTAGGTACCTCCAATTTTCCTGAAATGTTCAAAACATCCTTTGGTTTTCCTGGTAAATCATGGATATCATGGTTAACTAATGGTGATCAATGGCTAACAGTGGTTTTTGATTAATGGTGAGTCCAAAAATCGGACGTGTTCTCCAAGTGACTAATTATGTTGTCAAGTGGTCAAGCTATCGAATCATCCATATTGACCGCGTCCCCAAATTCCCCAGTCGGCCCAGCTGGAGGGACCAACTGGAGCATGCGCAGACCCCACAAGGGGTGCTCCCCAGTGACATGTTGGTTCAGTGAAAGCTAGAAATCCTTAAACCCAAATGACTCAAATGACTAGTTCGATAGAATAGATCAATATATTAATGTATATATATGTATAAATATGTATATATATATATACATGAATAACCATATAAACTCCCATTTAACTAGACCATTATAAATTCTCTAACCATATAATATCTACCATAAATCCAACTTTCTATGTAGTTCACCTAACGTGAAAAACCAACTTCGCCAACTCGTCAGACTGCCGCGGTCGACCGCAGCTTTTCCCAATCTCAGGGGCTTCCATGGCATTTTAGCCACAAAAAGCCAAGCCTAGCAGTGCAGATTTTGAGCGGTTTTTGACGCAGAGCAGTTTGCGGCACAGAGAAGTCTAAGATGCTGCTGGGTGAATCGAGATGGGGTCTGAGTGCAAGTTGGCCTTCGCGTTTGCTGGGACTGCAACGCTGTAATTTTAAGTAATTTCCGTACATATTTTGTAATATAATTGTTCCAGCCATTTCCAGCCTATTTACAAATAGTTCCAGGGGTAGTGATCCAAAAAAGGATTTGGTGAACAAACAGGCCAAGTGGACTGCTAAGGTATACCAAAAAGAAAACGTGTTTTGAGAAAGAGAGCCAAACTCAAGACCCCCAAGTTCCAAGAAGATCGAACCACCAACAACCACAAACCTGAATGACAGTATGATTGACCCCTGCCTATTCTGAATGGGTCCAATATGATCCAATACATTTCACGAGTGTTCCTGGGAAGCGTTTATGATCAAAGGGGGATGGGATTGCAGATTAGGTCATAGCATTATTCCCCCTGCCTATTCAGCAACACGGTAAACCCCAAAAATAAGGCTCCAATAACTAATGGTTTACAATATCCTAGTCGGATCTAATAGGACCCATTTCTGATCTTAAAACGTCACGTTACATCGTTCGGAAACCCAGCGCAGTTTCGCAGTTTCGCCATGGCCAGCTTTGGACCTCTGCTCCGTATCCGCGGGTTTTTTGTTGGGCTCGTCTCACACCGGCAGCAGCTCCATGTTGTCGAGCAGCCCCAAGGGGTCCAGGGGGTTCACTGTGGGGTCCACTTGGAAACCCATCAGGTCCGCAAACCGCTGGCGCATGGAGAAGGTCACGGTCACCACGACGGCCAGGATGAAGACCGGGGCAGAGTCTTTGGAGGCCATGGGGAAATCATCTCTGTCCCAAGGGGAAGATTTGATTGGCCTCGTGGGAAGAGATTGATACAAGGTACTGGATAGGGAAGTTCAGTTGGTTTGCAATGGTAATTACAACTATATAGTTAATGGGGTTACAAATCAACTTGTAACTGAGGGGGCACCACTTTGTAGAGTTGGTGAAAAGATGAGTTTTGTATCAGTCGAACGGCCAGTTTTAGGTTGGGGGTCACTTCAAAGACCACTTTACCCCAGAAAATTGCTCGCCTGTCTCCCTCGTCCAGTATGATTTTGGAACACCAAATAAAAAATGCATAGATCATGGCATCTTCCAGTCGTACCCACGGTGTCTTTCCATCACCATGAGATGTGGGGGGGCCCATGAAATGCGCTCCACCATCCTGTCATCCCCAGATTCCTCTCCGATCGGGCTCCCCGTTCTTTAAAAAAATCATGGATGAAACCACTTAGAATCATGAGCTCATAGAACTCAGATCAATAAATATGATAGATAAATATATATTATATATATATATATTATATCATAATATCATAAATTCTGCTTTGAATCCAGGAGTTTTCCACTGGTTCCCAGATCTTCCGCTGGTTCAAAATCGGGGAAAAACTCTTCGGCCTGAGGCCGCCAGCCAGGCCATAGAGGCGCAGTGCGTCCTCCTGTTCTTCCGAAAAGCTCAGGGTCACCTCCTTGAGGTCCGAACCAAGGTCCTGGACGTTTTTTGGGATGACCAAAAAGGGAAGTTAACCACGGGAGATGGAGTTGATGGAGTTGATGGATGAATGTTTTCCACTTTGGGATGGTTGACTCCCACTTTGTTTGGGATTGACGTTCTTTGGAATTCAGCTTGATGTGATTTTTTTCGGAATGTTGAAAGAAAGATGTGCTGAAAAGCTGCTTGGAAGTCATCTGGACAAAATGGTAACTGGAGATGATGTGCTCGGATAGATGGTTAGCGCTGGATTCGAACCCAGCGTCAATTGAACTCCCTCCAACCCTTCTGCTTCAGCCAGCACCAACAAAGGATTAAACCGACTAAACTTGGGAGACAACCAATGAGAACTTGGGCGATCACCTGGGAGACCGTCAATTCAACCACTTCAGCGGATTGATTCAAAGGAAAATTGCACAGGAAACCCGGAAACCCTGACTGTTACATACTGCTACCCTCTGGTAAACTAACATAACTATGGAAAATCACCATTTTCAATGGGTAAATCAACTATGAATGGCCATGTTCAAGAGCTATGTTAGTTTACCAGAGGGTATAGGGGTCTCCGGTAGATACTCCCTTCAAACAGTTCTGGCATAGGGGTTCCCAAAGGGATAGAAACATATTCATAATATGTCCACGATGATACAATGATACTTCAATACTTCAATGATGTTTCCCCATGAATTTCCAGCTTTTGGACACTTTTCAACAAGTAGTTGGTGGCTTCGCAGATATTTATATGAGGGTTTCCTAAAATGGGGCTACCCCCAAATCATCCAAATTACATCCAAATTACTGTTCATATTTTTCAACCCATGGTGACTTGGGAATCCCCCATGACTGAGGAAACCTCCATATGGAGGTTTCCTAAGTCATGGGTGTACCAGTGTATCCCTAAATCATCATGTGATCCATAGGATGTTCCATTCTATATGGAGCTGGGTCAAAACCCTGGTACCTAGTGAACCCCAAAATAGCTGGTAAATGGATGTTCATCCCACTAAAAATGTATCTATAGGTATTGACCCATACCCATATTATAAACCATCCAGCTATTGAATATTTGGGGTACCCCCATGACTTAGGAAACCTCCAAGACTGCGTCCAGCCCGCGTCGCCGGGTCTCCTTGGTGCTTTGGGTATACTCGATGCCCCTCTCGTGCAGTCGCGCGGCAACGATTCGACTCAGTTATGGCCGCAGGTTTGGGGAAGATCAAAAGATCCAGAGCTATAGGTAGATATCTACACATTGTGTATATATGTTGTTAAAGCTGTATGAATGTTGATATTTATATCTATATTTATATTCATATTTATAGGTATATGTTTATTTATACTTGTATATATACATATATATATATATATATGTATAATGTATGGTAGCGAATAGTCTGTCGAAACCAAAACAGGCCCCCATGAGTTTTTAGGCTCACGAATTGAGCCACATCTGCAGCACCGCAAGCTGAGTATTTCGTCCGAGCCGCAAGGTCAGGAAGCCCATCATTTCAAAGTCCTTCTGCAGGAGTTCTGCCAGTTCCTCACCAGGGAATTTCGGGGGATTTCATGATGAAAAGTCGGGGGTGAACTGGGGTGAACCAATAGATGTTGAAGATGTGCCAAATCTGGAAAATCTGGAGATATGGCTTCTGGTCATACCCCCTGATACACAGTCTGAGGCCAAAAAATCTCGACCCAACAGGAGAACCATCGCTGTTTCACAGAATATTTTGCAACATACCCTCTGGTAATTTAATATTGCTATTGAAATAGCCCATGGAAATAGTTCATTTACCGAACTTAAAGTTGGTGATTTTCCATAGCTATGTTAGTTTACCAGAGGGTACTCATATCATCTTATATTCATGCATGAGTTAAGAACTTCTGCTGGTTATGAATATAGGGACGAGGTGGGCAAGGCAAGGACTTTAATTCAATAGCCAAGTAGCCATATCCCTCCAAAACACCGGGCATTGACCCATCTCCACTGCTGAATAAATCTCCCCATTCCTGACATCACCCATTTATGGTTTGCTTACAAGTACAACAAAACGCATGTATATATATATATATACACAATAATTTGTGAATATATCATATCACATACTCACATAGTTTTATGTGTATGTGCCTGTGTATATTATATATATACAGTATATACATGTATGCAAAAGAAAGCTAAATAAAAAAAGAAAGCCACCAGTAAACCTGCTATATACCAGTACATATAAGCTGTATAAAAGCTATAAAAGCTGTATACATGTATATATATATATACATTCGTCTTATCCATACAATTTTCTTGCGTGTTTCGGTTGGAAACACCGCCCATCCCGTGGCGCGCTGCGCGCTTGGCGCTGCGCGCTGCGCGCCTGCGGCACGAAGTCCAAAATCACGCGCACCACACCAGGGTCCATCGGTTGTGGCACCAGAGCGCCCAGCGCCCCGGAGAGGTGCTGCGATGGCGGTGATGGTGCTTTTATGATGGTAGAGATATACAGATATCTTAGATATTAGATATGCATATATATAATATACATATATGAGCAGGGACCCCCACACCCCCCCCCAGCCAGATGGTTCCCCCCCCCTGTGGCAGGGGAGGGGGGGTTTTCTCAGCAGCCAAGCCATGGTGTATGTAGTCTTTATAGTGCATATAATGCATATGTATCGATAATTAGAATGGATATACTATATGTAATATAGAGTGTATGTGTAGTGTATATATATATATATAACATATATATAATATGTAAGATATAAATAGAATATATGCAATCTATATATATATATATATATAATATATATATATATATATATATATATATATATATATATTTGACATATACATATATATATATATATTGAACATATTTATATATATACATACATCGTATATGTGGTTTTTGATAGAATATAGATAGTATATGCCACATGTACTGTATCCACAGTAGATGTAATATTTACAATATAGGTAAATATGTTCGTTGAATAAATTTTACATAGTATATGTGGTATATTGAATATCGACAGCAATACACGGTGTATATCTAGATTTTATGTATATATATGTATATATATATATGTATGCATATGTATATATATATACATATATATATATATACGTGTACAGTATGTACAATGTAAACGAAATATGTGATTGATACAAGATCAAGATATCAATATGTAGTATCTAGAATGTGCATCTATCTATATATATATATTTATTGTTTTTCTACTGTACATATGTCTAGGTTTGCATAGGCAAGCTTTGCGTAATCCATAGGTAGCAAATATGTTGTAAACCATGTGCGAGGCACGCTATAGGCGGTTCGAAAAAAAGGTTATGATAGAAATATACAGGTAGACAAGGTCCGTTGACGAGGTCGTGGCTCTCAAGTGCTGCAAATAACGTAGAGATGCGAGGTTGGAAGGGTGGAAAGGGGAGTATATATGTGTATATGTGTATATGTGCAAATAACGTGCAAATACTAGGTTTTGGGGGGGTGGGGGGGTTAGGAGTGGGGGGGGGATACCATTGGGGGGGGGGGGGGGGTCCGGGGACCGGGCTCATATATATATATATACATATATATATATATGTGTGTATATATATACATATATATATATATGAATATATATATATGTATATATGTACAGATATGGTCATCCTGATGCCGATAAGAAGAAGTTCATCTTCGATGCCCAAACTCGGAAAATGATTAAGATCATCAAGGTGGTAAGCCGGAAAACCAAACAATAATCCATCCCAAATTTGGTTTTTTTGCTGTTTATACTTGTTTATTGGTTCTTATCATTGCTTACTATTGGGTATACAGTATAATTACCCCTGTAAGTCGAGCAGTGTATAAGACTTCCTATATAAATGGTTTGCAATTGGGTTTAGAAAAAGAAAAAACATGTAATGTAAACCTTAACAAGTCGAACATCATCCAGAAACTTCGCATCATTCTTACTGCCATTCACAAATGCTCCGAAAAACTGCGATTTGCAGATCCGGAACCCCCCCAAAATAAAATAGTGGGTATGTTTAACTTACCATCTGGTTATTTAACATAGCCATGGAAAATCCCCATTTTTAATAGGTAAACCATCTATAAATAGGCCATTTTCCATGGCTATGTTAAATAACCAGAGGGTATTCCTTATAGATTCCCCAATGAATGGATGTAACTTAAAAAAATCACCGACTCGGCAATGCTCCGAGAAGGCTCGCCTTATGTCTCTGTTCGAAGCACATTTTCGTTCCTTCGAAGATTTTGTCGAATCCAGCACCTCAGATCTCAACATGGAAACGCTGCCATAAATAAACCAACCATGACTGGGGATGGTTAATAGCAGGCATATACCCTCTGGTTATTTAACATAGCCATGGAAAATTGCCTATTTATAGATGGTTTACCTATTAAAAATGGGCATTTTCCATGGCTATGTTAAATAACCAGATGGTAGATTTTGAGGACTTGGGGATTGTATGGGATTGTTTACTATTGGGTTTCCCACATTAAACAGTTGAGATACAGCAACACTGGTTTATAGCCAACAATTATGGGGATATATTGGGGTATCATGGGATATGAAAATTTATGAACACATAATATAATGCACTAAAGCAGATCCAAGCATATATGGTTAACCAGTTGGTTTTGATCTTTAAACTTTAAACTTGTCTCAAAATGGCACCCTATGGCCATTGAATATGGCTAAAATAACCATGGAATATGGTTCTCGGGGTTCCCAATTTCTCGAATCACACATTTCTATTGTATTGATATCATATATATGATAATATGTATCATAATCACCCAATGTATATACCATTAGATATAGATTACTCCATATTATATATATAGAGTTATATTATATGTAAGTTCATTGTATAGATCTCACATCTTTCGTTGGTTGCCGATGGAGGTGCCCAGCAACAAACCTCCATATCTGCTTGGTGGAAACGGCCAATTTCGGCCCTAAAGGGACTTGGACTTCCATGGACTGGAATACATTCTTGCTGAATATGTACGTATATGGATAGCGAATGTGCACATGTCATGTATTACTTCTATATCACTTATCTTTATACATATAAAACTGTACATATATACATATCTATGTATATATATATATATGATATATGTATAATATATATATATGATAATATCATTATATCTAATATTATATATAATTAATAATATATAATAGTTTATATAATTAATATTATATACAATATATTATATACAATGTTAATTATATAAACTATTATATATGATATATACTATATATAAAATATTATATATAATATATATTATATATATATTATATATAATATATATTATAATACAATATAATAATATAATATAATATAGTATAATATAATATAATATACTATAATATAATATAATATAATATATATATATATTACATAATATATATAATATATATAATATATAATATAAAATATAATATGACATATATATAATATGATATATAGAATATAATATATAATATAATATAGAATAATATATATATATAATAATATATATATAGTATACTATATATTATGATATAATATATATAATACAATATATATAATGTAATGTAGATATATATATATATATATTATTATTATTATTACTATTATTAATATTATCATTATTATTATTACTATTATTAATATTATCATTATTATTATTACTATTATTATCATTATATATATATGTTCTTATCATATATACGTATATATATACGGGTTTGTCTGGAAAAAAAGGTACCCCTAGATTTGCTGGTTTATACTCAGTGTCTCCATCAAATTCCCATTTCATCCTCCATTTTGGCATTTTGGAGAAACCCATAGTATATGCATACGTAATACAATGATATACATTATATAGAGAGAGAGAGATAGATAGACAGACAGACAGACAGATAGATAGATATAATCATATATATGTAACGGGGTGATTTAGAGGTGATACACGCATGGTTGCCACTGTTGGCGTATGATCCATTGAACATACAGTTTATAGACGATTATTATAGTGTCTAATGCACAATGCTGTTAGGTGTTTCCGAATGGGCATTCCTTGTTGGTTGACACCCAACCACATCACCCTGTGGGTTTGTCTGAAAATTGGATAGCCCAAAATTTGATGCTTGAAAACCCCGTTTTCCCCACACAAGTTGCCATAAATTGCTGGAATTGTTCCATGTCTCCCCCATTTTCAAATCCACAAAATCCATGTGTCAAATTCAGCCCATCATATGGGGCTTGCCATAAATGGGGCTACTCCCTTTATCGCTGGATGCTTTATTTCATGGAAAATCCCATGGAAAATTGATGAGAACTGTGGGTCCCCCATGACGAAACGGAAACCTCGAAACCTCCATCTCCACCCAAAAAGCATCTCCGCATCTCTGCTCCAAGCTGCAGGGAACCGTCAAATGGTTTTCCCGGCCCAACATCTCCATGGACTTCACACCTTGACGAAGAGGGCACCAGAAAATGATGGAAAAAACCTGTGAAAAGAACATCAGATGTATATTAGATTTAATATGAATGAATAATATATAAAACATTCATAAACATCAAATTATATATAACATGAATTTAGATATTAACATGGTTCGCTGGTTCGCAAATTTGGGATGCTTCCTCCCAATGCCGTCATGGTTGCCAGCCCAAGTCTGACCTGTAATTGACAAGTCACTGGTGGTTGAAGACTATTGCCGTTGTAATGGGGACCTTTCATCCGGATATTTCATGATTATAATGTTGATGTAATGTCAAATGTGTCAAATACTCCGAAAAATTGGAGACCCCAATTCATGCATAGATCCAATACTAAATCAGGGTTTATATAGTTTGTTTTTTTTCCATTGTAGTCTTTATAGGAGGAAAGAAATCGCCTTGAACTCATCTCAATCAGTGGCCTTGGTCACCCAGTAACAGCACCAGCGGCAGCAAAATGCTGACAGCATCCCGGCGGCACATGGCGGCAATTCCGCAAGCGGAGGGGGGAAAGGGTCAAGCAAAGAGGCCAAGAATGTGACCAGTTGACAGCCGTTGACAGCTTCAACCTTCAGAGAAATCGTTGTCATGCCATTTTCCATCAAGATCGAGCAGAAAGTTCGCGGCTCGCAGATGCAGCTGTCAGACAAGATCAGATCATCCAATTTCAATGGCAAAATCAGCCTCAAATGGCTGCTGTATAATGAAGTCACTCCTGATTTCCCTTCTCGGATTCTTTTTGAGGAGTTTCAAGATAACCTGAAACGAAATAGCGAAGCGATTAAATATTGGCCGGCGCCCCGAAAAGCTAATGTTTCGACATCCACTATGATAAGAACATGCTGATCAATTGCATCGAACATTGCCATCTTTTGAACATGTTTGAACTGTGGAACTAAGGGACTGAAAACAAGCAAAAAACCAACAACTACTGGACATCCGAAATCAGCCAGAAGCCTCCCCGCAAGGGGATCCCTTTGGCTCCAAAACACCTTCAACAGCATCGTGGCGAATTGCTGGATGTGAGGTGTCAGGGCGGAAGGACCCGACTGATCCTGATTCGGCAATGGATTGGTTCAAAGGAAGATCTACAAACCAGTGCTTCAGGCCCTTTTTTATGATCAATTTTTTTTCTCAATTCATGAAAACTTCCGGCAGATTTTGCCACCCAAAATCGAGGACCCGTCCTAGAAAAATCTCCTGAAATCATGGGTTCCATGATCTTTCTGTAAAATTACCCGGATCAAGTTAAATCCATGGATTACTAAAAGCAAATGTAACTTAATGTCATGGATTCTGTAAAATTTCCTCAAGGTAAATCCATGTCCACTGGGCCAAGCCATCGATCCAAGACATTCCACCTTTTAGTGGTCGATATTGATGGTGTACCTATCTTTTCTGTGGGCAAAAACAGAAACAGCGAAAAAAGAGTTCCTTAAGCTGTGTATATTTGGAATTGTTGAAAAATAAATGGTTTGAATGAGAGGCTAGATATACTATGATATGCCAATTATATAATGAGTTGGTAACGGTACGCACCACTGATGACACTGGCAGCTCGCAACCCCCGCCTGCATGGGTCCCAGCCTCACTACCACCCAAAATTTGACTCTTCACTAAGCAAAAATGGAGATCTTGTCAATCAAAACCTGCGGAATCGATCAACGAAAATACTATTTTGATACATATTGACTGGCAGGAATGGATATTCTATCAACCCAACATTGTTTCGTGACACCGAATCGGAGGGTGTCCCGCACCATTTTTGCTATTGACGAGGTGGTATTGGAATTGGAGTCCTGGATTTCGGTGAAGTCAAAAAAAAAATGTCTCTTTCCTGTAGGAGGGCATTGCAGGATGCACTCACTCTATTGGCTTGATTTTAGCGATTTCCGTCAGGAAACTCATTTTCAACGTAGGCTTGACCAATTCTGGAACCCGCGAACCCGCTGAGGCAGCAACTTGGTGTTTAAGACCACCTTCTGTCCAAAGCCCTGGCGGGAAATCCGAATCGAGGCCTTTGGTTCTGATGGGAAACCTTTGGATGGGTCGAAATCCCTAACAGAGGCGATTCACCAGTGACACAATTGATTCCCCCTCATGAGATTCTCGTACAGTGTGAGCATATAGGTGTTGGACCTATATGAACACAGTGGCAAAAACCATGCCTTTTGTATCCTTTTGTTTCTGCCTTTAGAGTTGCTGTCTATCTGTCTTTAGACCATGGTTTCTAGGCCCTCAATTCACCATCAAAATGGGTATGTTACCGCAGCTTAACAAGGGCTGATTTGGCTCATAGAATCCAACTTCATCATTTCCGTGATATCCCCATGATATCCCCATTTTAGATTGTTAAATCATAGTTAAATCCACATTTTTTCTCCATATAGTCACAGTGAAATGCCCATGAAATCTCCATGAGTTTGGTTTAAATCCCTATTTAAAATCTATGTGATCCGTTCTTTTCGGATGGATTGAATCATATATGGTTATAGTATGTTATAGTTCGTTAGTTATAATATTGTTCAATAATAAAATAGTATTTCTATGAAAAAAAACATGTTCATTCCAATGGTTGTAACACCATCATCACATTGAACTACAGTAGATGGTTGCGAAATCCTGGATGGTTGAAACCTTATAAATAATGGGATGTTTACCACCGTTTTCAACTGGTGATTTGGATTTCGCTGGCCCATCCACAGTAGTCCCCAGAAGATTCCCATGAAAAATCACCCTTGTTCACAGTGAATTCTCCGTGTCAGTCGCCTTGGCCAGGAAGAGTTCCAAACTGCACCAGGCCTTAGGTCAGAACAATGTGGCGAAAATATGTGGGAAAAATGGTGTGAAAATGTAGGAAACATGTAGGAAAAATGTAGGAAAAATGTAGGGATACGTTTTTTTCTGGAAAAAAAAAGTGGGAGTTGTTGAATCGGTCGAGGAGAGCCAACTTGAAGGCTGATCGCAAGCGAAGGTGGAATATGGTGGACACCACAACCTGCCACATGCGGTACATCCTCTCCTGCAACCCTTTTGTAGCATGTTTGCTACATCTACCATGGTCAGAAGATGGTATACGGGGTATGGCAGTATGGCTATGCCACCATGCTAGAAGGGATTCCCCAATTAATGTGTTATTGGGGTAGTAACCCATCACTCGTGGGGGATGATGATAATCACCCGCTTGGGTAGATCTAATCCGACTCTTACCCGAGGCACGCGTTTTCAATGATCAGATTCCAATGTTTCACCCCCCTGCTGCTGAAATTCCACATGGATCACCATGTGTTGATGGTTGAATCCATATGGAGGTTTCCTGAAGTAGGGGTACCCCCAAATCATCCATTTTTTGTGGGCATGATCCATGAAATAAACCAATCTTTGTTTCCCTTGAAAACCGAGAAATCGCCTCCCTGCTGTCGACCGAACTCTCAGCAGTGCCGTGCCATCTTGGCCCGTGCCTTGGAAATGAGTGGTGACAAGCCAACAAACACAGGAGGTGTCCACAAACGTTGTGTTTGTTGAAGTTTACAATCCCAATGAACTATAGGTATAGTTCGGTATAGTTGATACTTATAGTTGATTTATCTTAGGAATATCTTGACTGCAGCCCCATGGCTACTAGTTCGGTATATGTATCATAAACCATTCGTAAAACTGGAGTTATAAACCAATTTAGCTAACTATGGGGCACCACCTTGCAAATATATATATATATACATGTGAAAACGGCATAAGGCAACTGTCCACGCCTGCCTCAACAATGTACTAATATGTGTAACTATAGACATACTGATATATACATATATATTATATATGGTGATATTATGGCCTTTAGCCAACAACAATGGGAAGATCAAGGGAAGATGACCAACAAAATATTATATATATGTGTGTGTTTTGTTATTTATGTATGTGTATATGACAATTACAGAAGGCAACTGTAGACATCTATCTACACCTGCGGTAACATGGTTATACTAATGTGTATATTATATAGACATTTAATCTACACCTGCGGTAACATGGTTATACTAATGTGTATACTATATAGACATTTATATATATATACACAGAATATGGATCGTCGATCCAATAAACTTGCTAAAATGCAAATATGTTTCAAGATACATGTTTCTATCTTGAGGATGACTGACTCTTATTTGTGTATTTACATATATATATACATATATATTCATTTATTTATATATATATGTATATGAATACATACTAACATTGATACACATAGGTATCTATACCATATAGAGATAGCAACATTATTAGCAACCGCACCAAAAAAAAATTGAACCTCCGTTTGAGTAGGATTGTAGTTTTCTATGTTTGGGGGTTATTAGACATAGCCCCCACCCTTTCACAGCAGGCAATGAAGGCTGGGAGGAAACGCCCTACTGAAGAGTTGGTATCAGCGACCGTTCAAAATATGAGGATATAAATATAAATGGGATTGGAACCATCAAATATATGTATATATAACATGTATATATATATATATGTCTGATTGAGCAGTTACTATTTTATACTAGTTTAGCATATTTGGTCTGAATCCCGCAATTAACCAAGTTTTTTTAATCCAGTGTTGACATTATACCTGGATAAATTACAAATAGTTCACCAACCTTTAAAAAATCCGCCGTGTTGGGATAGTTTCCCCTACAAATCCCATCATTCCAGAATATATGTACCTAGCCCTAGTTTACAAGTGGGCATTTGGGGAATGTATGCATACACCGCATTTTCAAACAAATCCATAGATATTTGATCTGCAGCATTTCCCATGCCCTCTGGTAAACTAACATAGCTATGGAAAATCATCACTTCTAATAGGTAAATCATGGTAAATCAATTATAACTGGGCCATTTTCCATAGCTTTTTGTATGTTTACCAGAGGGTATATCATGGTTTTTCTGCAACGGAACCGGGTCCAAAAAATGGTCCAGACCGCGGGCACCCAAGCTGAAAAGCACCGTCTTGATGCCTTTCCCACTGAGCACCTGGTACACACCTAAGTCCTGCCCAAGCTCGATGCGGGCCACGACGGAAGTCCGTCCCAATGAACTGCCTGGGAAATAAGATCTTGGAGATCTATGCGAGTGAACACATACATCATCATACATCAATATCATATATATATGTATATATCAGGCACTTATTCATTGGCAGTTTACTTTGGTGCCTTGCTGTTCTTGGGATTCAACATGAAATTCTCAAGTTGTTGTTATGTTTGCATCATCTGGCATTATCTTTTCTCTGTTGTGTTTAATACGATCTGGGATCATCCTGGGAATCTCTGTGTTAAATTATGAACTTTGGGACCACTTTGGGACTGAAATATGTACGACATTTGGAAGCATGTGTCTGTGAAATGTTCACAATGTTGTTTTTTGTATCCACCTTGCATGTTGTGCACCTCTAACGTGCATGAACCATAAAAGGTTGGTGTTTATAAAGTGTTTAAAAAATGGTTTTAAAATGTGTTGCATATATCAAATGCCTGTCAATTCA